TAGGCATAATCTGCATCTTATAGTAGTCACTGGTAAAAAAAATATCTCATTGATTTCAATGGATATATGCCATATTGTTTATCACACAGTAACTATGGGGTGGGGTTGGGGAACAGGGGAATGCAAAAGTTATTGTTTATTGTGGAAACACTCTAACAAAGTGAACATGCAAGCCTGTATTATGTTAAAATGTTTAGTATGACATATCAACTTTTAAAAAACTGATCTTGAAAAGCAATTAAGTTTTTTCTGTGTTTTCATTCCTCTGGTATAAATAATCACATGCATCAAAACTATTTATTTGGCATAATTACTAGTTAGCCCACTAGTTTCAGATTACTATCCTAGTTGTGAATCTGCTCACTGCACAATAATTGAAAGTTTATTTATTGGTGCATATTGAGTACCAGTACATTTAACACAGGCTATAAAAGCAGCATTTCAGAATTAAAATATGAATTTAAGGAAACAGGACTATCCTCATAACCTAAACGTAAGCATTTGTTCAACTGCATTACAATTATTAGTGTGATTTGTAAATTAAGAGTTAACTATAAAGCTATTATCCATAATAATATAGAGTGCACTACAACTGCCTTATCAAGTTCAGAAATAAGAAATATTACTGGTTATGGTGTTTGTTTCGTTGGCCTCTATGAAGTTGTACTGGTCAGATATTTTGGCAAGCAGCAATATTCTTTAAAAACAAGAGACATCTGGCAATCCTTTTATTAGCACGACAATTGTGTTTCAGATAGAAAAGGCAAGCTAAGCAAACCATACTAAGGAAAAATACTAAGAAAGAAAATTAAGGAAGTGTTATTATAAAGAGCAAAGATATGCAATTGTCCAAATCTGGACAAAGAAAACATTCAACAACAGCTTTTCAGATATTATCAAATTAAAAAAAGATTCTAGGGATATGTGTGTGTGTGTGTGTGTGTGTGTAGACAATAATGTTGCAAATTCGTTTTTGACTGTTGCATACAGTATTTTGTAGTGTCCTGAACTGTTGTCTGGATTATGCTTAGACCAATCAGGTTTTTTAAAAAAAATTTTTACTCCCTTTTATTTAAATTTTTTTTGGGGGGAGCTATTTCAAAATACTTCATGCTTTTCAAATATCATATACCATGTGCAAGCAACTTCATAATTCTCTCTCTCCCTCCCTCACTGTGTCAAAATTAACTGAAAGTAAGCGGGGGAGGGGGAATCACAGTTAAAGGCTGTCAAGGCTTAACACATCCCTACAGTACTTGTTTCAGAATCACAGCACATATGGGACCTAATCCTGCAAATGCAAACTGTCAGTTTTTCAGCTCCAAAATGACTGAACCTGTCCAGAATTTAATGTGAATCTAGAGAAAAAAGCACCTTGGTGATCATTCCGTTCAGTATGAGGCATAACAAGATAATATTTATTTTGTTGTTTTAAACTAATATAATATAATACAACACAACACAACACACTACTACAAAAATATGTGTTATTTCTTAGTGTTTCTATTCCATTTACATGATTCAAGTGATTAGATTTGATAAGAACAGTTAACATCACTTAAAATATAGTACAATAGCCAAACAGAAAAATGCAGATATCAATCGTGTTTAAATGTAGAATGAAGGAGAGATGGAAAATGGGAGGAGAAAATCAACCTGCATTTCTTCAACTGCATTTCATGCTGTGGGTGTTCAAACTTGTTTTGAACTGTACAAAGTATCTTGACTAGCTTTTCTGAATATGCCTTCAGAGCAAATCAAGGCAAAATAAAACAACTGCTTTTCTGTGTTCTATACCCTGTTAAAGGACTCTGCTCACCTGTACATTCCATTCCTTTTAACCATGTATACAAGTGTTGCGTTGAAAGAGCTGGCCCACTGAATTAAATGCAAACTAGTAAAGCTGTAAATAAGATACACATCCATCATCCATTAGAATACATGCTTTGTTCATGAACATACCTCACCAAAGCTTTGATGTCATCTCCAAGACCTAGAGTTACCTGACCTCTGATCTCTGGAAACAACACAAGCAAGTACAGTGGTACCTCGGGTTACAGATGCTTCAGGTTACAGATTCCACTAACCCAGAAATAGTACCTAGGGTTAAGAACTTTGCTTCAGGATGAGAACAGAAATCGCACGGTGGAAGCAGGAAGCCCCATTAGCTAAAGTGGTGCTTCAGGTTAAGAATGGACCTCTGGAATGAATTAAGTTTTTAAGCCGAGGTACCACTGTACTAATTTCTGACAATGTGCTTCAGGTTAAATATCCACTAAAAAGTAGTCACTGGAAATAGTTGCTTCTCATGTGCACTCTTGCATGTGATGTAGGACATGAAACATATTGGGTGGAATTCAGTGTAGTGCTATGGCAATAGCACTTGCCCGCTGCACTTTCTGCTTGCCCGATGGAACAATCTCCCCTACTTTCCTTCTGTGTGCTGTTCTGAGCATTCTTCCAAAACTCTACAGCGGATTTGGGGGAGGAGAGGAGAAAAGCCCCACTGTACTACTGAGGGTCCTTTCACTCACTTCCACTAGTGGAATGGGTTAATTACATCTGGACAATCAAACTCGTAAACTTCAATATAATGAGGAAATGTGTAGAGCCATTGTTAGATGCAGATGCGTATCTAACTGCACATCAACGCTTCTGTCTGGATTCAAGCCTATTTAGAAACTAGCAGATATTGCTCAGTTTTGGACCCATGTTTAACAAAATGGCACACTACACTGATGTAGCATTCATTTTGTTCTACTAGACAGCTGTACTCTTTCTGTTCTTCAAGTATTAGGAACTATTGAAAAGACTGTACATCTAGAATACTTACTGTAATAATTACTCTGAAGTGATTGAATGCAGACACCTGATTCTATATCAAAGGCGAACATCCATCAACTCAGATGAGGTCCCAGCGCTCAAAGATGTCAAGTACTCTTAAGTGTTAGGCTTCATTGAGTTGAAGATGCTCAAAACCTTTAAGAATCAGGTCCTTAATAGAGACAACTCTGGTTCATAATCCTGTGCTACCAGAAGACAGGGACCAAGTCTTGCATGTGATATTTCTCGCTACAAGGTATATATACACCAAAGAGCAAAGAAAAAGGATATACTTTCCCCAAGGATTTGGCAGTTGAATGATTACCAACAAGAGTGCACTCACACTTGCAATTTGAAACAACTATAGTTTTCTCCCACACTGACTTCTAGCGTAGCATAGTCGACTGGAAAATGAGTGATGGACTGGAAAGTCCCCTGGTTCTTATTTTAAATCAGTCATGAACTTGGTTGCCTTATGTCAATTTGTAACAGGTGGATAACAATACAAGTTTGTTGAAAGGTTTACAGAACTAATGCAAGTGAAGCATTTTGAGCAATTTGAAAAAAATACTGTATAAATATGTAATCAGTACTAATACTGTTATTGTTAATACTGTGATGGGTAATGTTTATGCAGCCATGTCTGCTGTAAAATTTCCTTTGCCCATACAAGAGAAAATATAGTAATTATGTTATGTAAGTAGCCACCGCTGCCTTTGAAAAGAATATTCTATTAAGCTCTTTGTTCTACCAAAAGGAGACCCATTGCTGCTGGCTCTTCCAGCACTTAAATAAATGCTAAAATTCTGTATGTCACATGGAAAGCTTATAAGAGCTGATGGGGAAATCCAGCAGTAATTTTAGTATTAAACTGTTAGTATTTGATCGTTTCGTCCAAGAAGGCATAATAGGCCACCTTGCTGATGCTAAGCTGGTTTGGGCCTAGTCAGTGGCTGGATGGGTAACTACATGTCCCCAGCTGTGCATTCTGTGATGGAGGAAAGGAAGAATCTAAATGTATAATAATAACAACAACAACAACAACAACAGTGAAACTAAGTCAAAATAGTGTCAAAATGCTGTGGCGACAGCAGTTGGTGAAGGATTAGCTCTGCTGTGGCATCTGCCCACTCCTCCCATTTTCAGTAAATTGTAGCAATGCTTGTTTTTGGAAAGCCAGATGAACAATGCCCCGTCTATGCCACCCTGTCAACCGCTACTGCACTGCGGATTTTTTAAACTGAAAATTGAAATAAACGCATCCCTCCTGAAGGTTAACTATTCTGGAATTTGCAATTTGAGTTTCCATCAGAGGTATTCATACATACCCACTGAAGATAAGGAGTCTAATCTAGACATGTGTGACAACATGGGACCTCAGTGGCTTTAAAATGGGCATGTTGCAGGCTTTATCCACTTCAACTTAGAAGGCCCTGTTTGCGAAGTACATGTGAAAGCAGACATATGTTTACAACAAGTAAATCTCTCCAATCTGAAAGGCACTTACTTGCATGAAAGTTTTTAGAATTGTAGACTTCACACATTGTTCCTTCCCGCTCTAACATATTTTAATATGAAATGCACACCTTATTAACATTTACTATAATGCTGTTCTTTATTTTGTGTGGTGTGTAAAGGGACAGCTTAGAACACTATACAGTGCAGACCCTCCAAGTGTCCCTATTTTCCAGGGACACTCATGATTTAGAGAAGCCGTCCCAGTTTCTGATTTGATCCTGGAATGTCCCACTTTTCCTTAAGGTGTCCCTATTTTCATTGGAGAAATGTTGGAGGGTTTAGAGTTATCCAGCCCCCAAGGGAATCCTGTATAGGGAAGGTATTTTTTAAATGTTTAATGTTTTATTACATTTTTATGTATGTTGGAAGCTGCCCAGAGTGGCTGGGGCAACCCAGTAAGATGAGTGGGGGTATAAATAGTAAAATTATCATTACGGTATGGGATGTCCCTGTTGTCATCGGAGAAATGTTGGAGGGTATGTACAATGGTGTAATTTCACGAACACGTGCAGGACCGCATTCATGTAACTGGCTTCCTCCTTCTACCATGCTCTAACTTTGCACAAGTTTTTCATATTAATATTTCCCCCCCCCATTTCCCTTACAATATTCTTAATAATAGAATACATCTTCAACTCTGTAGCCCTTCTGAATGCCAAAGGACTGTAGTGCAGTGGTATAGCATCTACTTTGCATGCAGATGGTCACAGGTTCAATCCCTGGCATGTCGTGGAAGGGCTTGGGAATTTCCCTTATCTGAAACCCTAGATAACTGCAGCCAATCAGTACAGATAACACTGAGCTAGATGGACCAATGGTCTGATTCAATATAAGGCATCTGTAATGGTTCTATGAAAGTTAACACTGAAATTTTAAAATTATTTTCCTCTCCGAACCAAGTAGTTTAACTCGATACTGACTACAGGGAACACACATAGTATAATATCAAAGTGAACCAATTGGGAGCTTGTAACTAGTTGCAGAACAATTTTGAAACCTGTATACTCCACATCCCAATTATCTAATTTAAATACTGTCAAATGATTATTCCTTTTAAATCACACTTTCACACCTCACGACTGCCAATTACAATACAATTGCAGCAAATTACTCTCATCCCCATCCTCCAACCCCTTTCTTCTAATATACATGGCTGAAGTTCTAACAATCACAAAGGCAATTCTGCCTTAAACGTGTTTAGCACGTATTGTAGTAAGTCTCATACTGCAAAAAAATCTCTATCAAATGAAGAGAGAGATTGACATAAGAACAAAGTAACAATTGAAACAAAGTAATGGGATTAAAATGCACCTCAGGCATTGTTGATTTGTCTTATTGTGAGCCAAAGTTACTGAGTTGGTATATATGGATACAGGCAGTTACTTATTAAAATGATAATTTTTATTTAAAGACGGCTATAGAAAAGGCAATGTAGTTCCCACCCAAATAAGTTCTACATGAATACAGTGGTTAAGTTGCTCATGTTTGCTACATGGAAAATTGTTGTGTGCATTTATACATTAGGACCATTTAATATGTTTATTGAAAAGTTTTTTTGCCTTGGACATGGCCTCCTCATTTTCTCATAATCTAAACCTTTCAATTTATCCAGTATTTGTTATACATTGACCCGTGAGCCAAAAAATGGCACAGCCTGTATACTATTAAGCGCTTTTGTCCCATTGATTTTAATTGGAGTGTTAAACATGTGTTTAGCATTCTTCCATTGAAATCAATAAGAAGTGCTTAATTTTGGCTGATCATTCCCACATATAAGGCAAGCTGTAATAAATAGGATTAAAAAACAACAATGGTGTAGAGGCTAAAGACAATTAAAACCTCAAACAAAGTAATAATGTTTGGGGTACAATATCATTCAAGATAAACACTAATTTTAATATTTGTGTACCTAATCATACTGAAAGGAAATCAAATTATTCACAGTTCTGATCATTCCGTAGGCCAGTGGTTTTCAACCAGTGTGCTGTGGCACCCTGGGGTCCCTTAATGATGGTCGGCGGGCCGTGGGCAACACTGGCCTCTCATCTCTCGTTCCTTCCCTCCCTCCTCTGATGCTCTCATCTTTGCCTCCCAAAAGCTTGCACAGTTCCCCAGGCGGATGGTGCCTCTGGGGCTGGCCAGAAGGTGCTTCCCAGGCCTATGTGGGGCAGTGTGAGGAGGGGGCAGAGGAGGCAGCTCAGAGACCAGGGCAGGAGCTGCGGCTGCCCAGAGGACTCCCAAGGAAACAGGACAAGAGAGGAGGCTGAAGGAACACTCCACAAGGGAGGGTGTTTGAAAACAGGTGATATAACTGGGGTCCTGAGCCCCACAGAGGTGCTGCAGAAAGAATGTGGTTGGTTAAGGGAGCCATGAACCCAAGAAGGTTGAAAACCTCTGGCCTAGACTATCTCATGGTATCTTTGGTGGCCTAGATTGCCTTTCCCCAACTTCATTTGGTAGGACACCTATGACCATTGATGGATTGGGATAGTTTGACCACAGTTGTACATGCTTTCGTAACCTCATGGTTGGATTACTGTAATGTGCTCAATGTGGGAACACATGTGGGGTTGGACTGGATGCTGCAGCTGCTGCAGAACATGGTGGTTAGGTTGCTTGCAGAGTCCAACTACCACCTACACATTAAACCTTCTTTGTGGGATATGCCAGTCTGCCAGTCTGTGACCAAGCCAAGTTAAAGGTGTTAGTACTAACATATAAGGCTCTATACAGCCCAGGAATGGGTTATTTGTGAGACTGCCTTATCTCTTATATAGCCAGTAGATCCCTAAGGTCTGTGAGAAAGTTTCTCCTGCAAATTCAAATATCTCAGACCCTGCTCTTCAGTAACTCAGAAGAGGGCTTTTAGTGTAGCTGCCCATGTTCTGCAGAAGGGCATTCCTGTTGAGATATGACACACACACACTTTCTGGAAACAATTGAAGACATTTTTGTTCTGGCAGGCTTTCCCAGCTGAATAATTGGATGTCTGTTTTTTATTGTTTTATTTTTGTTTTAAATGCATTGACTTTTTTGGGTTTGTTTTTAACTGGGTTTGGTTTTTTGCTGTTTTTATTGCACATCTCCTTGAGATGATTGTGTATTAATAAATTAATGATAACAACAATAACAACATCTACTGGCGACAATGAACATTAGACTGATTTAAATCATTTCTGGAAAGCATTTCGTTAGCCTTGGATTCTACTTGCAAATGTCGACAGGTTTGTGTCATGACGCTTATTAATGACATTTGCAACTTGCCATGATAAATGTCAATATTTATGGGTAAATTATGGAAATGAGTATAAAAGTTGTTCTTTTACCAGACACTAAGAGCACTGTCCTAACCCCCTGAGCAATATAGCTGGTGAGGGTTATGAACTGCTGGTCTCTACCTGCAAAGAAGCACCACCACTAGAAACCCCTACTGTGCCTTGGTGACAAGCTACTGCTGGCAGTGTTCCCACTTGTGGCAGACAGCTAGTGGTGGGCTAGGAGTGGGACAGGATGCCATGCTGAAATGTTTCCTGGAAAAGGGCTGTTGCACCAGCCCAAAGCTAGTGCATAAAAACTGAAAATCTCCCTTGCGTTCTTGTCCTGGCTGCCGAAGCCAGCAGGGCTGCAGAAGCAGCAGCGGATCCACTTACTGCACCTCGCAGGCCCCTCTTAAGATTGCAGTGCTTGGCTAAATGTATACTTAGCTGGGAGTATGTCCCAATTGAACTCAACAGGGCTTACTTCTGGAGTAGAAATGTATAGGACAACACTGTTAAATAAGAACAAGAACATTCAAGGCAACATTACCTTCTGCTGAAAATAAAATAAAAGATTCACAGCCTAGTTTACAACCTAGTTTATGAAGTTTCCTTGAGTGCATCTAGTGCAAGGATTATTTCTCTTCTATTATCTGATCTATTATGGGAACTTCTCTCCCCCCCCCCCCATTTTTAACATTGATCTGAGAGTTGATGGATTTTATCACCTAAACCCCAAATATACATTGGGGCAATATGTTCATTAGGTCAACCAGAAACTCTCAAAATAAGAAGCAAGCTTTCAAGTTGTCCCAAACTTTTTTTCAGACCTGATGGTGAACAAAGTAGGGGGAGGGATTTGGCTGACCTTGAAGCTATGGAGTCTGCATTTAGTCACAGACTTGAAGTAGAATGTGAGAGAAGGTAGCAGACATTATTAATGAAATTATATTATTATTATTATTATTATTATTTATTCTAGTTATTTCACTTTAGCAAATATTTGGACATTATGATTTTTTTATCAGAATATAAACAAAACAACATTAAAGAAGTTTCTGATATTTAACATAACATGCACACACTCTCTGTGTACATAAATTGAACATATGACAGGCAGAAAAACAAGGGGGAGGTGTGACTTACGGTAATATGCTTACACAGAATTAAACAGAACCACTAACAAGGGATCACAGGGGCTATGCATGTGCCAGGTCCTGACCCAGAAGGGGCTCCAGCATCTTAGCTTTCTTTCCTTTTTTAAAAAAGTAAGTCATCAGACATTTCTGAAGAAAGTTAGAGCATGAAATGCAGAGGCACTTTGAAGGCTTCTGTGCCATTGCTAAGGACGCTTAATCACTTAATCACTGTTGCTAGGCTATCAGAGGAAGAAATGCAGACCACTCCCACCTGGGTATCAGTGGGGTTGCCCTTTCAGAGGAGCAGAAAAAGCAGGAGTGGATCATTGTTGCTGACGCTGGACAGAGAAGGATGTTAGGGTGTGTTTGTTAAAACAATTTCCTTGGTGTCCAAATTATTTCATTCTCTGCCCAAGTGTGCTGCCTTTACAGAATAAAACAACTGGGTGGTTTCCATATGTTCTACTAAAAACCCTTGACATAAATTAGGCTTTCTTCCTGTCAAGGAAGAAAGGAAGGAAGGAAGGAAGGAAGGAAGGAAGGGCAATTGCAACCCCTGTTCTCGGTTTTCTATGTCCCCCACCCAGCCGTTACTGGTCTGCTTGCCATCATTGGGCTGTTATTTACCAGTACTGTATACAATAACCAGACGCAAAAATATATAATGAATCAGCAAGCACCTTACGGCTGCAGGTAGACTGTACTTTACCACAAGAATGCTTTTCTGTTTATATGAGCTTTGCTGAGTTCTGAAAGTGCACATATTTTTTGCATATTGTGGGTTTTACTCCCAGGAGATTATATCTGTGTGTATTGTTTTCCCTCTTTTATGTTCACAACTAGGTAGGCTGAGAGTTGGTAGTTCAGCCATCAAAGTTGTGAATCCACACCTACTCAAGTATTTTTTGCTTGTTGATTATTTCTCAGGTTTGGCTGGCTCTCTCTCTCTCTCTCTCTCTCTCTCTCTCTCTGTCTGTCTTTGTAAATATCAGGACTATGAAATGTTGCAGCTAAAACAAGGGGGCTGCTGTGACTGATATTATATATTTGTATCTTTGTTTTCTACTCAGGAGCTCAAGGTTGTGCACACTATCCTCCCTGCCCTCACTTTTAGGATTAGCATTAGGATCCACCCTATTTCTGTAACTGTAATTTGTTTTTAACCTGTTTTTAATAAGGAATTTTATATTATTGTAACCTGACAAGGGACGTTATGGTAAAGGGTGAAGAAGAAATCAAATAAGTCTAACATCCCTGTGAGGTATGTATGTATGTATGTATGTATGTATGTATACATACCCCGCCCATCTGGCTGGGTTTCCCCAGCCACTCTGGG